CAAAAAAAAACAAAAAAAAAAATTATGCGAATTATGGTAATATAGCTTGGTCAAAGGTAATATACTAGATTGGTCAGATATCGATTACTACACAAGACTTGTTATGACTAAAACTTTCAATTACTAGTATGTTACATGTTAAGCTATTATATTATATAGTAACACATAATTTAATAAACATAAATCACAAAAAAAAAAAAAAGTAATGTTCATACTTTTTAAAATCAGTTTCGTGTATCACTACCCATAATTACATCTAAGCTAAGTTAGCTAACACATCACATCCTCATTTGTTTTCGAGACCTTACACTCACCTCCCTGTCATCACACCTCCCTGTCGTCACTACTCGTATTCCTACCATTATTACTTTTGCTTTTTAAGCACGCATTATAGAAGTTTTTAATTTATATTTTGGTAAACATTCTTGAGATTTTACTTTGTTTTTTTTTTTAAATAAAAAAGAATCTGAAAAATGGCATTCACAGTGACAGAGTCATACATGATATTTGCGTAGAACTTTTTTTATTCTCGTTCTATACGTGTTTTTAGACTGCAACCTATAGTATTTTTTCATGGTAAAATGCAACATTCGTTAGTTGCAACCCTGCCTACATATTGACGTGCCCATTTTTAGGAATGATAATCCAGGCGGACTTGCATATTGTTAATGTTCATGAAGTTGAGGTGCATTTTACCACAAAAAATACTATAGGTTGCATAGTTCAAATGCATGTATATTATTTTTTATTTTCCCATTAATCATGATAATTGTTCTATATTATTTCAGAATTTGCAATTCATTTATCACGATTTAATTTATAGTTGATTTATGATTTGCACGTAATTATAGATATGTTTCAGTTTATCTATCCCATAGAAATTAACAAGGTTAGATTTCTCTTCAAGAAGCTTGAATTTGTAATAGGAAACACAAAATTTCAAATAAAGTAATAATTATTTTGCAGAAAAGTTCGTAGAGTTATTTATCCAGGACCTTCCCTCCATTAATATATATTAATATATATNNNTATATATATATATATATATATATATTGATTTTACTTGTAGTCCTTGCTGTGTTTTGTGGGAATGCGAGAGGATTTCTGGATTTTTTGGATTTATGGCGAAATTTATATTTTAGTTGTCATTTTATGCAACTTTGTGAGCTGCCTTCTTAAGTTTCGGTAATTTCAGGTTGTGGAGGATAATCTAGAATGGGACGACATATCATGGTCACAAACTGGCGTTTGGATTGCGGGAAAAGAATATCATCTTGCTCGGGTGCATTTTTTATCTCCAAACTAGACCTAGTTTTGCAGCTTTGGTCTCTTCAACTCTGGCTTTCTCATGTCTTCGCGATGATTGGAACTCTGCCCATCTCCTATTTATTGTTGTGTGTGAACTAGTGCATAGTTTAAATCAACCTAATATATACTTAGAGCCGGGGATGATAGATTTGAGATTTGGAAAGTGTGAGATTGGTTATGGTGCTCCTAATTACTATATTCTAGTGTTTCATTACCTGATCCGACATAAGGGATCAGAGGCCTGTGGTATTGGTGCTATTTATAACTGTATTCTAGTGTTTTATTACCTGATGCAGCTTACGGGAATGATAATTGTATTATATTATCCCTGTCTTTTGAGGCACCGATTTATAAAGTTGCTTGTGGTTTAGTTTTGTGTGTGTGTTACACACCCAAGGCTTAATATCTAATCACAACATTATGTGGAGCCTTGAAAAATTCAGCTCCAAACATGGCAATTTATATCCCAAACATGTCATGCCGAGATGGGAAATGGCCAGTTTGAGAGTTACTCAAAATATTCTGAATCTCCAAACTTGGAAATTTATATCCTAGATGTGTCTCATGTAGGGATATGGTAAATGGCCAGATTGGTAGGGTTGTTCGGCCTTCATTATTTTGTTAAAAAACGAAGGATGAGGTCTATAGATCTTTGATGAATGACGTAGATAATAATCGAAGAAAATTGAGCCTTAGAGAAAAAGTAACGAAAATGGATTGTGGTGTTCGAGTGATAATTGAGGTTAGATATGTAATGAGTCGGGCAGCAAATGAGATGGGACGAGGTGAATATCAACCTTATTGAGTTAGTGATGATTCTTTTCGTTGCTTCGTGAGCTCATGTTTGACTCAAATAAAAATCTATAATTGCTTGAGGTTTCCTAGTTATGCTCTTGAATTTCATTAGCTTAATTCCAACATTTTCCCAAGTTCAATTGAGCTTTGCTCTTACCTAATGCTAGGACTATATAGGTAAATTGTATTTATACTCAAGTGGCTCGTCGAGCGTTCAAACTCAAGACATACAAACTTGAGTTTGGCTTGATTTTGAGTGTGAGGCTCGACTCGAGCATCTTGAGCCACTTGCAAGCCGTTCGACTCATTATTAGAGAAGAGATCCAACAAGATCGTACTTCCTAACTTATCACATCTCTATCTAGGTAAGTCTTGAGCAAGTGACTTTTTCCTTTTTACTTAGATTTTTCCTCTTATACTGTTCAGTCCGAGGTTCTTTGGTCATAATCTCGACCTCTTGACCTGTCTGCTGTAACTTACTTAAGGTCGAACCTGACCTTATTGTGAGGTCTAACCTGACCTCGCCCTGACGTCTAACCTGATCTCGAGTCATACGACCTCGATACCTTGAGCTCAGCTGTATTTGTCGAGCTCGGGGAGGTCGGCACCTCCATGTCGTCTCTTCCAGATAGGCCAAAACCTTTGGCCCAAATACGAGCTCCTTGGCTTGATAACTTATCTCTGCACATACAAGAGCTCTCCTAGACCAGCCTAGCCGAGCAACATGCTCAGACCAGTCTGTAGAGGTATTCTACGTGCTTCATCAGGTATTATCAGGTATAATAAACCATTAAACTACACGATGTCTCACTGTGCGTTTAATATTATTACAAGCAATCACCATCTCAAAAAAATTCCCCGACATTTTTGAGACTTCTAAAACGTGCATAAATTAAATTTCATACATACGGGCCATAATAGCTGGATCATATAAACATGCAAAGGACACATATACATAACAATTTGTGCCACGCTTCGTACGCACATAATTCATGCAAGACTAATTCTATTATTGAACAATAAGTAGAATTAATCTTAGGTTTTGATAACAATTATTGGGTTCGACACAAAAATATACGTCATTGTTTTTTAATTTAATACCTAAAAAATTAACCCTAAGGGTAGCAGAATCTAAAGTTTAGGATCAAGATCTTACGGTTTTGTAATAGCCGACTCTGTACATACTGCACAGGTTATGGGCCAGGACTAACAGTTTTGAGATGTTCTCCAACCTTCTCGTCTGCCTCGACTTTCTTCGTCCGCACATTGTTGGGTGGTTGTCGAACGCTGCTGCTCGCCTCGCTTGGTCTCATCGCGTTGTTGCTCACAGTAGCCGTCTATTGTGCGATCGCTTGGTCACTACTAGTCGCAGCTGCGTGCGTGTGTGCGTGCGATGTGCGAGTGTCGATGTGTTAGGTCGTGTGGGCGACAATCTTCCAAACACGTGCGGTTGGAACTCACTTTCTCTCCTCTCACAAAATCCGCGCATAGCCTTATGTATATAAGGTTGGGCGTGTGAATTATGATCTTGGATTATGAGACTGTGTTCCCCATCGACTAAACATGATTCTTTTATTCCAAACGGGATTAATGGTAAAAGAATCAACGCTTTTAGTATACAAACTATCTTTTGGTTGGAAAGAGTGATAGGATGAAAAGAATTTTTAAGAGGCTCGGTTGTGCCGCCCTTTTTAACCTGAATTTTTTAGATGGTGCTTTGAGGGGGTTGTAGATGGTGTTTTGGCTGACACAAAGTTTATGTAGGGTATGGATATTTATAGATAGAGGTTCACATGCTACTTTTGATGGCAGCCCTTCCTCTAACGCCATTTTTTTGACAGTAGATATCAACTATAATAAAGAGGTACTTTAATCGCGATATCATGGAGATTAAGGTGGTATGGAGTAACGATTTTTATATTAAATAAGAAAATTAATAAGTTTAATGGAAAAAGTATCTCGATAGGGATATGAAACTGAAATAATAAACGACACAAATGGATTGCCGATCATGCAAAAGATGGATATAAGAAAATATTATTATTATTTATAATTTTCTGAATAGTATGTTGTTTTTTTCATGGGCCTCAACATTTAAATTTATTCACAAAAAAAGTAGTAAGGTCATCATGACTATCAGCGAAGGGCGTAAGGGTGTGACAAGCGTTGTCATGCAAAACTTCTTGTTTGATGGTGAGGCGGTCGCGCGGTCACTTTATCAGTTTACTTTACTAGTTACTATCCAGAGAGATCGACAATTATCTTGAGGAAGAAAAATAAAAGATCGCTGCTCTAACAAGAATGTGGATCAACATGACCATGACAACAAAACTTTTGGGGATATTCTTTCCTATATTTAAACCTATTTCACAATAAGCCTAAACTATGTACTACTTGGTTTAGGCTATGTTTGGTAAAACTAGCTGATAAGCTAGCTGATAGGTGATAAGCTACCTTATAGCTTATATGTAATTTTTGAGCTTATAGTTTATACCTTATGACTTATAGCTGAAAAACTAGCTTATATGATAAAAAATGTTTGGTAAATTAGCTGATAAGCTAGCTGAAATAAAAAATTCAACTAGCTTATTTGAAAAGCTACCTAAAGTAACTTATGAAATACAAGGTTTTAAATAGCGGGCTAAAAAGTTTATGGCACTGTAGCTATAGCGGAGATTTAGCGGGATTTAGCGGCTAAATTGCACATGAATACAAATAGCGGCACGCTGCCAAAAAAAGCTATTTCTCAAATAGCGGCAACTTTAGCGAGCTATTTATTTCCTTGATGAAATAAGATCGAGCTTTTTAAAAAAGCTCGTCCTACCAAATGAGACTATTTTAATAAAGGGAGCTTATAAGCTAACCAAATAAACGATAAGCTAGCTTATTTGGCTTACCAAACATAGCCTTATTGGACCGGCACAGAGTAAATGTGATTTTTTATTTACAGCATATTTAAAAAAAAAAAACAGTTGTCATGTTAATTTATAATTTTTATATCACTTAAATACTTCCCACTTTATTTCATTTTAATCTATTCACTCAAAAATTTATCATTAAGTTCATTTTGTTTATTTATTTTTTCTTTTCCAATCCAGCATCGCAACCCCAAAATACACTACCAATTGCGCCCGTCGTCTCAAGTCGTCGGCGTTCCTTTCCCTCGGTGACCGGAAGACAAGGATACCTAGAAATCTTCTCCGGCTGTCAGTCTCCCCAATGGCCGCGACGCCGCGCAGTGAGGCTGCAGACGCCGACGCCTCCGCCAATTCTTCTTCATCACTCCAATTCGGCACCCCCCAAGCGCTTGAGCATATCCGCAAGCTCACAGACGTTGGGGCCATGACCCGCCTCCTCCACGAATGCATAGCCTACCAACGCGCCCTGGATCTCGAGCTCGAGACCGTGCTCTCCCAGCGCTCCGATTTGGACCGCCAGCTCTCGAACCTCCACAAATCTGCCGACATTCTGGAGATCGTCAAGGTCGACTCCTCCTACATGCTGTCCAACGTCTCCTCCACCTCAGCCCTCGCCGATCAGGTCTCCGCCAAGGTTCGCCACCTCGATCTCGCTCAGTCACGCGTCCAAGGTACGCTCCTCCGCATCGACGCCATCGTGGACAGATCCAGTTGCCTCGACGGCGTCCACAAGTCTCTCCTCGCCGAGGATTTTGAATCTGCCGCGTCGTACATTCAGACTTTCCTCCAGATCGACTCTAAGTTCAGGGACTCCTCCGCAGCCGATCAGCGGGAGCAGCTCCTTTCCTACAAGAAGCAATTGGAAGGCATCGCCAGGAAGAGGCTCTCGGCGGCGGTGGATCAGCGGGATCACCCAACCATTCTCCGATTCATTGGGCTCTTCAAACCTCTCGGCCTCGAAGAGGAAGGCTTGCAGGTTTACGTGAGTTATTTGAAGAAGGTGATCTCGACGAGATCGAGGATGGAGTTTGAGCAATTGGTGGAACTCATGGAGCAACCAAATAATAGCAGCCCGGTGAATTTTGTGGCTTGCTTGACAAACTTATTTAAAGACATTGTCTTGGCTATTGAGGAGAATGATGAGATTTTGAGGAACTTGTGTGGCGAGGATGGCATAGTTTACGCGATTTGCGAGCTCCAGGAGGAATGTGACTCGCGAGGTTCCAATATTTTGAAAAAGTTCATGGAGCACCGGAAACTTGCAAAATTGACTTCCGATATCAATTCGTACAAGATCAACTTGCTCTCTGTAGGGGTGGAGGGTCCTGACCCTAGAGAGATTGAGCTTTATCTTGAAGAAATACTGTCATTGACCCAGTTGGGCGAAGATTACACGGAACACATGGTCTCGAAAATAAAGAGCCTGAGCTCTGTGAATCCGGAATTAGCCCCGCAAGCCACAAAGGCCTTCAGGAGTGGGAGTTTCAGCAGAGTTTCTCAAGAGACTACTGGTTACTATGTCATTCTGGAAGGATTCTTTATGGTGGAGAATGTTAGAAAAGCAATCCAGATTGACGAACATGTGCTGGATAGCCTCACAACATCCATGGTCGATGACGTGTTCTACGTGTTGCAGAGTTGCTGCCGGAGAGCAATTTCAACCTCGAATATTAGTTCGGTTATTGCCATTCTTAGCAGTGCCGTGAGTTTATTAGGTGGTGAATATAGTGAGGCATTACAGCAGAAGATGAGGGAGCCTAATCTTGGAGCAAAGCTGTTTTTGGGTGGTGTCGGTGTACAGAAGACTGGTACTGAGATTGCCACGGCATTGAACAACATGGACGTCAGCGCTGAGTATGCCCTGAAACTGCGCCATGAGATTGAAGAGCAATGTCTTGAGGTCAGTGCTGGTTGTCGTTTTGTTTTTCCAAGTGGTGATGGTTATGTAAATTTTCGATGTGTTTGCTTTTTACTGTTCTTGGTTTTTGAAAATACGTGTGCTAGTTGTTAGTTGCGGTTCCTGAATGATGAAAAGAAAAGTAGAATTGTTAGCTACACAGCAAGTTATTCATGTGAGTTGACACTACCTTCAATTGCAGGGGCAATATGTTTCATAAGGTAGATTAGTTATTATCTTGATGATGTTACTTGTTAGACCTTGGGAGCTTGAACTTATAATCGGTTCTTTAAACTTTTGTTCCTCCCTAGAAGTCCTTTGGTTGGGATTGCTTTAATATAATTGACCCTTCTTCTTCAGTGTTTTGTATGATTGATAGAAACATGAATTGTATTTTTGTATTCTAAACTGACTGAATATGTACTAGTAACATCTTCCAGTCCAACACCGGTCATTGACTGTGACAAATTAATAAATTTTCTCATGGCTTTATTATCATGATGATGGTCGTCCTAAGGTGTGGGCAAGTTCTTCCCCATATAAATTGATGGAGACTCTGTGTTTGTGAACTTTTCTGCGAGAGAGTATCTCGCATCTTCCCGATTGTACCACGTTCTACATCATAAATATAGGGATGTCATAACCATTTAAGAAAGAAGAAATGTTTGTTCTATGTGATCTTTGATATTTGCTGCTTTATTCTCCACAATAAAACTGCTGCGGCCTTATTCTCCAATATTTGCCAGCTTTTTGCGGGAAGTATGACATTTCACTGGAAGAGTGTGCAATTTTTTGTTAGGAAAATGTGATCACCTGACCAATTTGTAAAAATCAATTTGGTATCCACAAATTGGAATATGCGTTACCATGTATATATATATATACTGTTTGTTCCAGCTTATTCCAGAACTTTTTCTCAGTAAATAAATGACTCTGAACTCTTTCCCCTTTCCCCCAGGTATTCCCGACCCCAGCTGACCGTGAGCGAATCAAGTCTTGCCTTACTGAGCTCAACGAGACTAGCAACAGTTTCAAGAAGGCTCTGAACGTGGGCATGGAGCAGCTCGTGTCCAGCGTAACCCCTCGGATACGACCCATCCTGGACAGCGTGGCCACCATTAGCTACGAGCTGTCAGAGGCCGAGTATGCGGACAATGAGGTCAACGACCCGTGGGTCCAGAGGCTTCTCCATGCTGTCGGGACTAATGTGGCCTGGCTCCAGCCCCTAATGACATCCACCAATTACGACACGTTCATGCACCTCATCATCGACTTCATCGTTAAGCGGCTCGAGGTCATCATGATGCAGAAGAGGTTCAGCCAGCTCGGGGGACTCCAGCTGGACCGGGATGTTCGGACTATGGTCAGTCATTTCTCAGGCATGACACAGAGGACTGTGAGGGACAAGTTCTCTCGGCTGACTCAGATGGCCACTATCCTCAACTTGGAGAAAGTTTCCGAGATTTTGGACTTCTGGGGGGAGAACTCAGGGCCCATGACGTGGAGGCTCACGCCGGCCGAGGTCAGGAGGGTGTTGGGCCTCCGGGTGGATTTCAAACCCGAAGCTATAGCCGCTCTTAAGTTGTAGCCCGCTTAATTTCTCTTGGTTACATTGTTTTGATAATTTTTTTTTTTTTTTTT